ACCTTCTCTGGGTTTACTTCAATTCCTTTCTTGGATACCACGTACCCTAGGAATTTCCCTGATTCCACAGCAAACGTGCATTTCAAGGGATTCAGTTTCATTTGAGCTCGACGCAAGTTTTGAAATGTTTCGTCCAGGTCATCAATGTGATCCTCAGCTCGCACGCTGGTGACTATCATATCATCTACATATACTTCTATGTTTCTGCCGATCTGGAGCTTAAAGATGATTTGCACCAGCTTCTGGTATGTTGCTCCAGCATTTTTGAGGCCAAACGGCATCATGACATAGCAGTAGATTGCATCACCAGCGTAAAAAGCTGTTTTCTCCTGGTCGTCCAACAGCAACTGAACCTGGTGATAGCCTGAGCTGGCGTCAAGAAAGCTCATCCGTTCATGCCCCGCTGCCCGCTCCACTAACTTCTCGACGTTTGGCAAGGGATGAGGGTCTTTTGGACACGCATCATTGAGGTTGGTGAAGTTAATACACATCCTCCACTTGCCATTTGGCTTTTTGACGAGCACAGGGTTGGACACCCATTCAGAATACTCCACTCTTCTGATGAAGCCTGCCTGTAACAACTTTTGTATCTCCTCGTCAATGGCAGCTTGCTTCTCAGGGCCAAAAAGGCGACGCTTCTGTACCACCGGCCTCCTGGTGGGGTCTGTGCTGAGCTTGTGGACTGTCAGCTCCGCTGGGATGCCAGGCATTTCATCAGTGGTCCACGCGAGCACATCTTGATTGGTTCTTAGGAATTCTATAAGCTCTGCCCGCTTTTCCTTTGTGAGTTTGGTGCCGATCTTCACTGTTCTCTCCGGCACATCCGGGTTTAAAGGCACCATTTCCACTGGCTCTACTGGCTCTGCCTTCTGCTCGACGCTATCAGGTCGATGCTCAATGTCTGATATGCTCATTGTCTGTTGACCAAGCTGGGTTGGCTTCCAACCCTCAACACTCGTCGGGGCTGCAGCGAGCTCGACTTTCTTGAACGTGTCTTGATAGCAGGCTCTAGCCATCTTCTGATTTCCTTTCAGCACTCCTACCCCCTGAGGAGTTGGGAACTTTATACAGAGGTGGGGCTGTGAGATAACAGCCTTCAGCTCGCACAGTGTGGCTCTTCCCAGTATAGCATTGAAAGCTGATTCCATCTTAACGACCAGGAAGGTGACCGAAGCCATCCTGAAGCGTGGTTCTGAGCCTACATATATGGGAAGAGTAATAACTCCCTCAACAGGGACGGGCTGGTTATCAAACCCGTATATTGGTCCTTCGTGCTTCGGCAGCGAGCTCGGATTTAGCTGCATCTTCTGGAAGCAACCGCAATACAGGATATCTGGCGAACTGCCAGTGTCAATAAACACCTTATTGACATTATGATTGCCTATATGAACTGTTGTCACAAAGGGATCTGCATGGGGCATCATAATGTCAGGCTCTCCTTCTGCTCGCTTGTAATCTGCCGGGCTGAATGTGATGGGCGTATTTTCCCATTCTGCTTCCTCAAACGGCCGTTTCAAGGGTTTGTTTTTGTTGACGGTCATCACCTGTCGGGCATATGCCTTGCGAGCTCGGGCGCTTTGGCCACCAGAGTGAACACCACCTGATATCATGTTTATTGTACCATAAGGTGGGGGTATCCCAGCGTAGCCTACCCCTTTTCTGTCTTTTTGATTAGGGGCAGTGGTTCTCGGTCCCTGCCCTCTCCTGTTGAAAGGACGTCCTCGGTACGCTCTGCTCTGTTCAGAAGAATACTGGTTATCCTGATATGCATCCTGCGTCCCCCCATGCTGGTATCTCTGTCCTTGAGGTCGGTCATACGCCTGCACAAAATGGGTTTGAGTGGGTTGCTGGGCGTGAGGCTTCTGAACATACCCTTCTAGCTTCCCGTTACGAGCCAAAAACTCTAACTCGTCCTTCAAGTGTTGGCAGTCCTCGGTATTGTGACCATATACACGGTGGTAGTCACAATGCTTGCTCTTATCTGCCCTCGGGGAATCATGTAGTGGGGGTGGAGGTCTCCGAACCCAGTGCTGAATTTGTGCCAGGATTTGAGACCTGGGTAAGGTTAAAGGAATATAACTGGCATATTTCGGGAACTCAGCTGGTTTCCCCCATTGCTCACCCACCTTCTGCTTCTTCTTTTCTTCTCTTCTTGGTTGTTGTTCTTGGCCTCTACTCGGCTTATCATCAGCTCGTCGCTTGGACGACTGAAAGTCCTCTGACAGTATAAAGCTGGCCGACCTGTCATTCACCTCGTTCCACGTCTTCGGTGGGTTTTCAAGCAGGTCGTCTAGGAACCGGCCACGCTTCAACCCATGCAATAGGGCGGACAGGCAAATCGTGTCTGGGACATTATCAATGTCCAATGTGGCTTTGTTGAACCGCTGCATGTAATCCCTCAAGGACTCCCCTTCCTTCTGGTTAACTTGCATCAGCTCGGTTGC